TGTTTTTATACACAACCTGAATTGTTCATGGCTCAGTCAGAAGCCCGAGCATCCTTTAATTTCCTGTTTTTCTTTGATCAAATCATGAACTGTGTTGAGTCTGACAGAGGAGCTGAGTGCAGCAGAGAATGAAGAAACAAAAGAAAACTCCAGTTTACATTTTAAACTCCAGTCTGCAGCTTTTAGGAACAGAAACAGGAATGACTAAGAAATGTTAATCCACTTAAACCTGACCTGAGCTCCCAGTTGAACGTTTGAACCTCACTCGTGTCTTCTTGAATTATTTCAACAAATTCAACCCAGAAGAGCTGACTGTTGATGTTGTTTCTAAACCTGACAGGGTTCCTGAGGTTGTTTCTAAACATGACAGGGTTCCTGAGGATCTGGCCCAGAAACCACCACATGTGGAGAGTCCAGCTGAGTCTTCCTCAGGTTGTTTCTGATCCACCGTCTGCTGTGATCAACAGGTGACCGCACAGGTGACCAACAAGTAGTTCATCAATCAGTGGGGTCAGTGCCTCCATTGACAGCGACGTCTACTTGATCCTCGTGATGAGAAATGCCTGGAAGCTCTGAGAGACAAATGGCACCAACGACCCACCAGGTTGCAGAAACACCCCGCCGCCTCCTGGAAATGACTGGAACTTGTTTTTGTAGAATGTAAATCTTTGGTACCAGATGTGCTTTTAAAGGATCGTGCTCTCATTTAAATGTATCCAAGTGACTCTAAATGTTGAGATAAAAACAGGAAGTTTTATTTTTATTGAGCATGCATCAGAAAAACAGGAAGTCTTTCAGACATTTCTAACTTGTTACATGTTGTTCAAGAATGAAGTGAAATAAAATATAATAAATGTTGCTACTTTATTACACATTAGTAATGAACATTATATTGATTTAAAGTGAAGTCTGTTCAGGACCACTGGATGTGAAGTGTACATTCAGGGTCTGGTTCTTGGCCAAGACACCCAGTGTCACATATCTAAAGCAGCAGTTTGGCGTTTGACATCTCTGGGACTTGAGCATTCTCTTCAAATGGCTTAGCCCACTGAGTCCTGGTTCTCTGACAGTTCGGATCTAATGGGTTCAGGTAGGGAGCAGCTTTTAAAGAACTTTGGAGGTTTTTCTTTGTTTCAGTTCATTCATAAATAAAAATTACAGTTTAAAACAGAAGACAATGACTGGACACAGGAAGGTTCAGGAGGAACAGACAGTTCTGGAACAAAGTCCTCTGATAGACTGAACCTGGATCAGTCTACATCTGAACCTAGGTGGTTTTGGGTCTTGTTGAAGGTCCTCGTGGCTCAGATCTTGTTGAGTTTCTTCTGATGACTGAAGAATTTGGTAAAAACTCAGATCCTGACCCTAAAGGGTTTACCTCCATCCAGACACATTAATCAGTCCTGGACCACAGACGGGTCTTCATCCTGTGTGACGTGGGTTATCCTGGGTGTTTTGAAAATGAGGTTCTGATAAAAAGGTCATTATGATGGCACTATCTGGGGCTGTGGTGACTCGGTAGTCAGAGCTGTGGTCTCGTAATCCTAAGAGTGCAGCTTCGAGTCCAGGTTGTGTCTGGTGTAAAACTCTGAAATGTTCACGTGAGCTGGCTTGCTGTGGCGACCCCTGCAGGATTGAATGGACGAAGAACAAAATGTGATTTGGTGGTTCCTGGGTACCAAAGGGATCATCAGATGGTGGTTCTTCAGATGGTTCTGTTGGTCACTTAGAATAATTACAGTTCATTTTGGGTGATTCTTCACCTAGAAGGTTCTGTGGATTCAAAATTCAAAGTTTTAGTTATCATTCGGGGGTTCTAGTACTTTGTAGTATGTTGGTGAAGATTCTCAGTCATCCAAGACACGATGAATTCAAAAAGCATTCTATACAAAAACAATTGGACTTTATTTGTAACAGAAGACTTTTTGCTCCTCATCCAAGGAGCTTTCTCAATTCAAACAGAAGTGAGTGAGAGATTCAGGTTATAAGGCTGAGTGAGATAAGACACACACACATATGTAGATTGGCAAGTCACACCTAAACACCTTAACAGTAGGGGTTTCTTAAAGTCTTCGTTCCTCTAATTCACAGATGAGGCCCCTCTGTTCCCATCAGGTGTGAAAACCAGCTGGGAATTTGTTTTAAAGTTGCATTATAGGTTTTTGAAAGTGGAAATCTGAGGCCTCCTCCTCTTTTAAGAGATGGCTTTTCTCTTTTTACATAAATTGCTTCCTTCACCCCCCTCTCAAACCATCTGTGTTCTCGGTCCAAAATGTGCACATTTTGGTCCTCAAAAGAGTGTCCCTTATCTGTGAGGTGGAGGTGAACAGCTGAACCGTGTCCTGAGGTGCTGGCTCTCCTGTGTTGAGTCATGCGTCTGTGAAGAGGCTGTTTAGTTTCTCCAATGTAGAGGTCTGGACAGTCCTCGCTGCACTGGACCACATACACTACACCACTCTGTTTGTGTATGAGTGTTTTGTCCTTAGGGTGGACCAGTCTCTGTCTGAGAGTCCTGCTGGGTTTGAAATGTACTGGGATCTTGTGTTTGTTGAAGATCCTTCTGAATTTCTCTGATTCTCCAGCAACATAAGGGATGACAATGTTTTTACGTCTGTTGTTCTCCTTTTTCAGTTTATTGGTGTGTTTTGTAGATTTCCTCGCTGACTTGACAAAAGCCCAGTTAGGATATCCACATGTTTGTAGAGCTTCTTGGATGTGTTTCTGTTCCTTTTCCTTCCCTTCTGTCTTAGTGGGGATGCGTTCGGCCCAATGCTGTAAAGTTCTGAGGACGGAGAGTTTGTGTTCCAGTGGATGGTGGGAGCCAAGCAGAAGATACTGGTCTGTGTGGGTTGGTTTCCTGTACACTTCAATGTTGGGGCTGTCCTCTCTCTCCATCTGAACCAAACAGTCCAAAAAAGGCAGCTTGTTGTCGTTTGCATCCTCTCTGGTGAACTTGATGTTGTTATCAACCGAGTTAATGTGTCTGGTGAACGCTTCTATTTCCTTGGCTTGGATTTTGACCCAGGTGTCATCCACATATCGGAACCAATGGCTTGGCGTTGTTCCCTCATAGGAGTTTAGGGCTCTCTGTTCCACTTCCTCCATGTAGAGATTGGCAACAATGGGTGACACTGGAGATCCCATTGCACAGCTGTGCTTCTGTCTGTAAAAACTGTCATTGAACTTGAAATAAGTGGTGGAGATGCAGAGATCCAACAGGGTGCAGATCTGGTCCGGGGTGAAGTTGGTCCTGTTGATTAAGTCCTTGTCTTGTACAAGTTGTTTTCTGACGGTTTCTTCTGCTTCAGAGATGGGTATGCATGTGAAAAGAGAAGTCACATCATAAGATACAAGGGTTTCTCCTGGGGTTAGTTTCAAGTGTTGAACTTTGTTAGTAAAATCAATGGAGTCCTTTATGTGATGAGGTGTGTTTCCAACAAGAGGAGCTAAAATACCAGCCAGATGTTTAGCAATATTGTATGTCACTGAGTTCATGCTGCTGACAATGGGTCTGAGTGGTGTTCCTTCTTTGTGGATTTTAAGAAGTCCATAAAGACAGGGAGTGGCTTCCCCTGGGTACATTATACTTTGTCCAAAGTATAATACAACGATCGATTGATTGTTTTCTTCTTTTCAAGTTTTTTTTAGGTCATCTGTGACTTTCTTTTTACATGTGCTAGTTGGGTCCCTCTTCAGAGTCTCGTAGGTGTTGCTGTCACTCAGTAGTGTAGTTATTTTTTCCTGGTAATCAGAAGTGTTGAGGACTACTGTGCATCTTCCTTTATCAGCTGGTAAAATGGTGATGTTTTGGTCCTGCCTGAGTGATGTTACAGCTTTCCTTTCCTGTGGAAACCTTTATGAGTTCTTCAGTTTGTGACAGAGCCGGAGCTCATGGGTTGGACTTTTAGAGGTTATTTGGTCTCAGGGACGTTGCGCATGTTTGGGAAAAAAAACATTATTTTAGGATTAGGGTTCTTCGGTCAGGAACTTGAGCATTGTGGTAGTCTGAAGAAGTCATTGTGGTAGTCTGAAACACCTGTTTGTTGTTAAGATAACCTCTCATTTGTCTGTTTCCTGTGATGCTGAGCTCTGGCCCATCAGAGTATTACCTGTAGAACAGCAGCGTGGGTTTCTGTAGAAAGCAGGAGGACATCTGTCAGTAAACATGGAAGGAACATACCCCTGGAGTGACCAGGAGGCATCAGAACCAGTGAAGACATCCTATATGTCTAGATCTTTTGGGTCAGCATCCTGCACTTATCAAATATTTCAAGCTTAGATTTACTGAAAAAATAAAGTGAAAATTCTTAATAAATCTTTTTTATGCAGAGTTCATTGAGAGAAGATCATTTGGTGACTCGTGTATTTTATTGATAACTCAGCTCTTTGTCAGTTTGAGTCCAAGCCATTCAACCTGTAGAACAAATAAAGGTTCTCAGGTTCTTGACCCAGATCAGGATTTGAGGTCAGGTCTGGAGAATGACCATTTTCTCCTAGTTTAAGAGCAGCTGAATCTACCTGAGGACAAAGCCCAGAGACACGGTCCCTGTTAGATGACTGGATGTTAACCTGGTGTCCTTTGATGCTTGCAGAAACATCAAAGTCTTGCAGCGAGGAACATCATGTAGCTATTCACAAACTGATAGAATAAAGTTTTGGTCCGGTCCAGGCTTTGTATTTAACATCATGGTGCCAGATGTTCTGCTTCTCAAAATACCTTCAGAACATCTGGAGACCTTTTGATAAAGACTACTTTAAAACTTTTACAAACTTATTTGGATAACTTTAAAAGAACTTTGACATTTGGACTCCATGTTTGTGCTTGGTGCAACCAGAACCTTCAGGATTCATCCATCAACCATCACTAGAGTCCATCCAGGAGTTGGGGAGAACTTCAGGGAAACTGATATTTTTGAGGCTGCTGCAAGGTTCCTCTCAGAACTTGGATCAGTTTAAACTCTGGCCCTGAGAGCCCAGCAATGATGTTCTGTTTCACCTACTTGATCTGGTAGAAGCTGGACATGGTGACGTAGGCCTCTTCCTGCTGGTTGACTCCAATCTCCACCCCGTTTACTGATCTGCTGTCTTCAGGCTGAGGTGTGTGAGGTCTATCCTCCAGCTGCAGGATGTTCAGTGGGGATGGGTTGGTACTCAGGAGACTGTCCTTGCCTTCAAAGGAGCTTCTGATCAACAGGGCAGAGATCTCCAGTTCCTCGGTGCTGTTGCTGGTGGTGCTGCTGCAGTGTGAGCTCTGGGTGGAGTTGGACTGGAAACCATCAGGAGCAGTAGGATGGAAAGAAGGTTCTACTTCATCACTGTCAGTTTTCTCCAACGGATAGACTTTCAGAGAACTAAACACCTCAGGGTTCAGGTTCAGCAAAAGACCCTGAAAAACATCACACAGTCATTACAAACTCGTTATTATTATTATTATTATTGTTGTTGTTATCATCATCATCATCAGTATTATCAGGGCATCTAAAAACTCTTTAACAAATCTGCAGTTGATCCAAAGTTCTGCAGCTAATGTTCTGATGGAAGTTAGAGGGAGATCAAATATATATATATATATATATATATATATATATATATATATATATA